CTTTCTTTCTTTCTCTTTCTTTTTCTTTCTTTCTTTCTTTCTTTCTTTCTTTCTTTCTTTCTTTCTTTCTTTCTTTTTCTCTTTCTTTCTTTCTTTCTTTCTTTCTTTCTTTCTTTCTTTCTTTCAGAGAGAGAGCATACACCAGTGGGGGCAGGAGGTGGGCAGAGGGAGAGGGAAGAGAGAATCTCAAGCAGGCTCCATGCTGAGTGCAGAGCCCAAGGTGGGATTCAATCTCACGACCTGAGGTCATGACCTGAACCAAAATCAAGGGTGGGACACCTAACTGACTGAGCCACCCAGGCACCCTGGGAATGCAGCATTCTCTCATTTAATCCCCACACCACCACCATTTTGCGGGTGATAAAACTGAGGCACAGGAAATTTGTATAACTTGTGCAAAGTCACAGCAATAGTAAGTGCCAGAGCTGGGATGTGAGTCTAGGCACTCTGGCTCCAAAATCCATACTCTTATCCACTATGCTAATCTCCTCTCTTAATAATAACAATGCTAATATAATAAAAATAATTTGTGAGAATTTACTAAGTGCCAGACACTGTGCTAAAGCACTTTATATACATTTTTTTTATCTAATCCTTACACTAGCCCTATAAGGCAAGTGTTTCATTGTCTTTTTAAAGATAAGGAAACTGAAGAGAGATTAAATAACTTCCCTGAGGTTGCACAATTAGTAAATAGTGAAGCATCTCCTAGAACATATTCTGCAAAACACTGATTGCCCCCCAAAATAGTTCCCATGGTCATTTAAGTTTGGAAAACATGACACCTGTAGGAGATTTATAGTCTACACCAATAAAAGTCTCCCATAAATACTTCAAGTATCCTGATTGACTTTGGTTTCCCAAAACTGGCTTAACCATGGAACTCTTATTCTTCCAGTGCATGTCAATATCCCACCAAAGTATCACTGCATTACACTACTTTGAGGATAGAATGGCTTTAATCAGACTCACTAGACATTAACCAGGTTCACTGGACAGGCTCATGGAACTAGAAAGCCAGAGTTTCCATTTGCAATAAAAATAAAACCAATGAAAACCAGATACTAAAAAATACTTGACTTTCTCTTTCCAGCTTTATGTTTCCCTTTGTCAAAGATGCTTGGGAAGCCAAGGCATAAAACCAATATACTCATTTTCAGGGGCACATTATTATGGGAGTGGAGGTGGGATGAGATGAGGCGAATTCTGGCAGTGCTCCAGGACCAGTGCATTCAATACCTGCAGGCAGACTAGACTCACCCAATCCCTCACCTGGAATGCTGCAGTAGCTTCTTAACTGACCTTCCTGCCTCCAACATGGCCACCATCCATTCCTTCTCTTACTCTTTCACCAGAAGAAGTTGAAATTTACACACACACACACACACACATACACACACACACACACATATATATAAAGACATGTCAGTTTGCTATTTCAGATTTTTCATGGGATCCCCAATGCAGTGAAAGTCCAAATTTCCTAACATGGTCTCCAGGGTTTGCATGAGCAGCTCCTGCCTATTCCTCCTTCGTGGTCCCACTACTACACTCCAGCCAACCAATCATCTTTCAATTTCTTAAGTAAACCAGACACTCTGTTGCCTAAGTCTTCACTCCCCTCTCCCTGAAACATCCTTCCCCACCCCTTTTCATACCTGGATAACTTGTTCATCTTTCTGACCATTGCTTATATACCTCACTTCCTCCAAAAAGCTTCCTTAATTCCACTCCCTCAATCTGAATTACAGGTTTCCTATACCTCCCAGATACCGAGATACCGTCTTCTACCTGATACCATATACTGCTTTATCAGAATATTTATGGTGCTTTGTCATAATTATCTGTTCACTTTTTAGTATCTACCACTGTGTATTTATCAAGTTTATATTGATTAGGCAGTGACCTAATCAACATTTATATCCATGCCTTGAATGGCAACATAAAATGACCTGCATAAAATTCCTGGAGGACAGGAATTTGCGGAGAATATTAAATATATTGAATATATGCTTAGGGTCTACAATTATAGTAAGAGCTTGGAATAATTAACCAAATTCAATAAGATGAAATTTAATATGAATACATGCAAAGCCTTAAAACTGAGCTACAAAGAAGAAAACCTTTGTATAGATATGGCTGGCTTCTAGGGATCTGGATTGAATCATAATGCACTACTGGTAGAAATGACATCAGAATGTATTTTTCTTTTTTTTTTTATTATGTTGTGTTAATCACCATACATTACATCATTAGTTTTTGATGTAGTGTTCCATGATTCATTGTTTGCGCATAACACCCAGTGCTCCATGCAGTACATGCCCTCTTTAATACCCATCACCAGGCTAACCCATCCCCCCACCCTAAAGGTTTTTGCTTTAACAGATGCTTAATGTAAATCAAAAATAAGATAAAACTATTCAAAATACTAATGATATCTTTGACTGAAATAATAGAAATATGCTATTTGTTTTGAAAGATGTAGCAGTCTCTGTCTTTCATTGGAAAAACCATAGCTAGAATAATGTACTTAATTCTAGGAAAAATACAACTAGAGAGAAATTTATAAAATGAAATGCATTCCAGAAAATAGTAGAGGGTTAAAGTTCTGGAAAAGAACAGTTGAGGAAATGGAGAATGTGTTAGTCAAAGGAATAGAAGCCTTTATATACCTAAGGAGTACCAGATGAAATGAATAGAATGTAGTCTATATTTATCCAGAAATCAGAACCAAGATCCATGGTTAGAAAAATTACAAGGAAGCAGATGTCAGTTCATCTTAAGAGGGCTTTTCAAATAATTAAAATTGTTTAAAAATGGACTGTTTGCTTTGTGAGATAGTGGGTTTCCTGTTCAGATGAAGACAAAAAGCCTAAGCATTTGGGCTTTCAAGATGTTTCATGCAGTACATAGCAGGTCTACCAGGTGGTCCAGAAAGTGCCTTTGCCCTCAGAGATTCTGTGAGGCTATAATATCAGTGCATTCCTTCCATTGGTGCTGATGAATGGAGACCTGATTAAACCCATTTCTGAGGATTCAGTTTTTAGACATTTAAACAAAACAAAAACATTATTGAAAGGCACAGTGCTAAGAAAGAGGACCAGATGAGTTGATTACTAAGGTCCTTTTCAACTAAGACATTTATGAGTCTCCAGCTCTTTCTGAAGCTGACTTAACACTAGGGATTGTGACCTTAATAAGACCAGAGAACTTAGGGGAAAGGCATCTTGGAAGAGAGAGGTCTAGAGAATTAATCATCTTCCACCTACAGCATAATGGAAGGAAAGTGCCCTTTAGGGGACCATGTTCAGGGTTCTGCAATGGGGTAAAAATAGAACTGTATCTTGCACTTTCTGTGTGCTGTAATGTTGCAGTCAGAATAGCCCACCGAACACCACATCATGTAAAATATACAATGGCTCCATCAGAGTTTATAGTTAAGCTAGCCACAAGTAAGCTTATGGCCCCACTATGTGCCAGGCATCGTGCCAGAGCTGTTGTCTTGTTATGTAATTGAATTTTTGTAGAAATTCTCAAAGTATTAGTCTCCTCATTTGAAAGGTGAGAAAACTCAGCTTCTGTGAAGCAACATCCTGTACCTATGTAATTAAGAGACCTGGGATTCAAACTCAGGATTACCTGGACTTTGAATTAATCAAGAGTGTTTCAGGAACTCCTAAACTTTAGAAATGGGGAGTATCTAAATGAGCCCAACTTCTTGGTTTTGCCTATGAGACAAAAATGAGGCCAGAGGGGACCAACTGTCCTGCACAGGATTCCCATGTAAACACAAAGGAAGGCATTGGAGTCTTTCAGGGTGATGCTCCAGCATGAGTACAGGGTCAGTAGCTGTGGTCTGTGTATACTGTATTTACAGTATACTGTATTCACAGCTGTGAGGGCAAACCATGCAGCAGACAGGGTCAGGGTAGGCAGAAGTCTAGTGTACCCCCACCAGCCTCTCTCCTTAATTCCCCTTTACAACTCCAAGTGTGCATGCAGAAATCTATCTCTAGACTAGATCTTGCAAACTACAGTGTAGATGGGCGGAGTTACCTCCATATTCAGTGATCATTTGCGGAGGAATGGGAGAAAGGTAGGAGGAGATCTAACCTTTATCTAGTGCTATCATGTCTCCAATAAATGTATAAGTGACATTTACCCTCCCAATTCCAAAAGCCAGAGGAAAGACCTATAGATTTTTGTATCAGACCAGGGTTGACTTCCAGATTGGTGGAAGTGTGAAGCTTTATTTCTTCATGTTCAAAGTGGAAACAGTTCTATCTATCTCAATGAAATGTCAGTATTTTTTCTCCACACCTGTTCTTTTCTTTCCTACCTTTGAGGGACCAGATCTACTTTTAGAATTATAGGAGGAGGGGTATTTGACCCTACCTGAAGTAAGAGGAGAATTTTGAATTAAAGGTCAACTTTGGACCTTTGGAACATCCCTTTGAGGCTTTGTCAGATTTAATGCCTCCCTTTTTAAAGATAAGAAAATTGAAATGGCTATCCCTTCCTTATTCCTAGTTAGTGACATAGTGAGGTGATAGTCATGATGAAAGCGAGCATGGGCCTGGGAATGTGTAGACTTGAATTCTGGTCTTAGTTTCTCTGTACCTAGACCTATGTGGGAGGCATCACATCAGCACTGCTCTGTCTATCCCAAAGGAGTGCCCTGGGTATGAAGTGAGGTCACAGGGGGGAAAGCTTTTAAAATCCTCTTTGAAGGCAAGAATGTCACAAGAGAATGACTCTTAAATCTATCAACCCCCTGTAGAGAGTTTTATCCAACAGACCACATTACCTCAATACCTAAAGAATCAGGAAAAGCAATCTTGTTTTTTGAGTTTGTGGTTGTATCAAAGTTACTCAGTGGTGTCCCTCAATTGTTTTCTTTATGTGTAGACTACCTTCAGGTCACAGATATTCACCTGTTCAAGGAGAGATGGGACACCAATAAAATGGACCACCACACTGACAAGTATGAAAACAACAAGTTGATTGTACGTAGAGGACAGTCTTTCTTCATCCAGATTAACTTCAATCGTCCATATGACCCCAGAAGGGATCTCTTCAGAGTGGAATATGTCATTGGTGAGTGCCATGGGCAAGCCATGTTGTGATAGTCCATCTGTGTCATCATGTTATGATAGTGATGATACCACGGGCCGCATAGTGGAGAAGGATACAGGTGCAATTTTTTACTTCCTAGAATTATACTTTGACAATTGGCTGGAGCTGGGGCTACATCCAGCCCCAGGACCACCCTATGCTCTAAGATGGGTCTGTATAATGCCAAACATTTGGGCCTATCCAAGTAAAAATCTGTACAGTAAAAGTGAGTATAATTGGTACAAAATGTTAGTTAATTATTTTTCCCCAGATGTTTTTGACATCCTATAGTGTGGCTTTTAATTTATCAACTCTTTTCTCATGATTTCATTGGTCTTATGTGCTAAAACTATTTTCAATTCTTAGTATACAATCTCCATATAAGCATTTCCCAGACTCTGTTCTGCTCTAATCTACTCCCATGGGATGGCTCATGAAAGATGACAGTCAAGTAAAGTTCACGAAACACTTTGTACTCTTATCTCCTTTTGTAGGTTGACAATATACATTAGCTTAACAGTTCTGGGAAGTACCATTTAACTCTGTTTGGTTGGGTGTTTGCCAAATTAATTAGATCCTGGTACCCTTTAAATTAGAGCTATTAACATTTGACACATTTCAGTAAATATTTTCCTAGAAATTTACAAATATAGCAAGTAAACATATGCACAAAAAAGCAAAGGTGGCTCAATATCAGAAAAACTATCTATATAATCCTACATATAAATAAAGTAAAAGAAAAAAATCAGGCAATCAAATCAATAGTCACCAAAATGAACATGATTAAATTCAGCAGCTGTTTTTTTTTTTAAAGACTTTAAATAAGACAAAAGTAAAAAAAAAAATCTCCTCAATTATAGTAAAAATTATTTATCCCAAACCAACAACTTTTGGTATTCTAAGTTGCAAAAAGTTAACTTAATTATAATGAGAAATTAGAGATACCTGCTATTGCCTTTCCTTTTTTTCTAAGCTTTAAAGATTTTAGCAAATGAGAAATACCTCCTATAAATACTGAGAAAAATAAAATTATATATTTTGCTACTGCTATGATTGTATATATAGAAAACCCAACAGATTCAAGGACAAAGTTGAATAAAACTTTGTAAGATGGCTAGATAGAAGATAAATACATAAAAGTCAATAGCCTTTCTCTTTAGCATTGAGAACCTAGAAATAGAAATAAGAAAAAAAAATCCCACATATAAAAGTTACTAAAACTATGAAATGTAAAAATAAATTTAAAAAAAAGATGCAGAACACAAATAAAGCAGCTATTAAATCTTAATAAGAGGTGAAAAAACTTTGAAAAGGCAAATATGTTTTTGGATATGCTATCTCAATTTCTTTAAATGTCCCAAAATTTATATGTAAATATAATGAATTTCCAATTGGAGGATATTTTTTTTTGTCTTGAATAAAATAAGAGTTCATTTGTAAGAGTAATTACTTGGCAGTAATCAAGAAAATGATACAAAGAAAGAATAAATAAAAGAGCATTTTCTATCAGAAGCATCTATCAGTACATATTATAAGAAGTGTTTTGTGGAACAGAATAGAGAATCCAGAAATCGATGTCAGTATGTAAGATTACTTAATATATAATTGTTGGTTTTGTGGAGTAAGAAAAGTATGTGGGCTTTTTGTTTTTTTGTTTGTTGTTTTAATAAATTAAATGATGTATTTTACATCTTGGTATTTTAGTATATATATATATTACATGTAAGTATATGCATTTAACATATTCTTGTATTTAACATATATTTATCTATATGTGTATAATTATATATATTATTTTACATGTATATATATTTGTTTTATACATGCCAAAATAACACAGATGACCATATATATGAACAAATGACCAAAATATAAGTATATGAGAAAAATACCAAATATGAAGTCAATGGATAAAAGATAGAGCTGGAAAAGTATTCAGAACATACATCAGAGATTAAAGGTTAACATAGAAAAAAAACTCTTTACAAATTGACAATCTGAAGATAAGCAATAGAAAAATAGACAAAGTATATGAAGAGACAATTCTCAATTAAGGAAGTCCAAATAACCTGTAATCATATGAAAACATGGTCAAATTCACTAGCAGACTGGGAAAGCCAAGCAGTCATTTCTACCCAACAGGCAAAAATTTAGAAAAAAAACTGTAATTATCTGTTGCTGGCATGTATGTTGAGAAAAACATACATTGCTGATATAAATGTATAATTTCATAACCTTTTTAGAAAGCAGTTTGGCAGGTATCTGTTAATATTAAAAAGACATATGCCTTTGATGCAGTAACTCCACTCTTGGAAATCTATGCCAAAGATATTTAAAGTCTAGTTTATAAAGATGGGTATTATTTACTGTAGCATTGTTATAGTGACATAAAAATAAACACCCCTCGGTAGTGGAATGGTGGAATATATTGTGATATAATCACACAATGGATTGTTCCTTTAAAAAAAGGATGAATTAGACCTATGCCAGATGATTTCAGGTGAGGCAGTGGTGAGGAAACAAAATATGGAGTATATATGATCTTCTCTACGTGTGTGTAACTATGTCTGTGCCTAGATTTGTAGAGTATCGTAAGTGCAGAAAAGAGTAAGAAGCACACACATAGGTAATGACATGCATTCCTTGGTGGGAGATGGGAGAATAACCAAAATAAGGAAGGGAGAAGCAAAAGGAAAGGGGAAGCTAGTAAGGAAAAGAGAAAAAAGCAAGGATGATGATATGATTATATGTAGGCATTTAGGTAAAATTATGATCTCCGTGGGAATATTTTTATATATATAACATTTATATATATATAACATTTATTTATATATATATATAAATTAAGAGTAATAACATCAAAGCTAAAAATAAACAACACTTCCTTAGAAAAAAATCTCTGACCCGTAACTACTTGAGGTATATGGTTTCTATTCCCTTTCATTTACAGTAAGGAAACGAAAATCAGTTGAAGCCAGAGTGGAAATGGGAGAGGAGGAAAGAGATCATTGAATAAACAACATCAGTACAATATGGGAGTTTTGCACAGAACTGTTTGCTATCCCAATTGTGGGGTGAGAGAAAGGAAAACTAAATTATCATTCCTGTATGTTAGGTGAAATGCAATAACCACAATTTCATTACATTTTAGGGAGCAGACTATTATTGTTAATATTTTTTAATAATGAGTACTTCAGATGAGGAATCCACAGCTAATATTTTCCAGAGTATTTTAAAATCTGCTGAAAATTTATTTGTATTTTTCCCCCTAAGTTCATTTATCACTTTTGAGTGTGTGTGTGTGTGTGGGTGGGTAGGTGGGTGGGTGTGGGTGTGTGTACATGCACACTTGTTTGGACTGGATTTGCTTAAAATGCCCTTCACACCTTTGTAACGCAATGATCACTACCTGTGTGTCAACAAATGCACGTTTGAAGCTCTGTCCCCAGGTTTGCTCCAACTATACAGGAACTTTTTATCTCCTTTATAGCCAAATATTTAGTGCAGAGAGGAGAGAGGAAAGCTTTGTCCCTGAAGTGGAGTTGATCGAGGTCTGAGGTTCTTTCCCACAGACCACTCAGAAAACAGTTATAATAATAGAAGTCTTAGGGAAGATGACAAGAGGAGTGTCAGATCGGGTTCCCAGTGAGAACTGTGAGCCACTGGGGCAGGGTGCTTTGTCCTGAGTGGCAAGGTCAGGGCCATGACCACAGCATCACCACTGTGAGCATGTGAAGTCCTCCCTTCTTTTTCACAAAAGGCATTGTATTACTTTTGTTCCTTCAGTGAAAAGGTGGGAGAGGGGAAGCATAGCAAATTTACCTTTGAGATAAAAATCTATATATTTTAAAAACCAACACGTATTCTAAATCCTTCTTAGACCCCACAATGTGTACTTTCAGAGTTAAGCTGTATTCCAATATGTGTAGCCTATAATAGGTGTTATTACATTTGAGGATTTTGTATTTCCAAATTTCCTGCAGAAACAAGGAAAGAAAAATAACATAACTCCACATTCTACTCTTTAGTGTATGAGAAATCAATCACATTTGTAAATGGCCTTAAAAGACCAATGATAGATTTATCCCAGATAGTGTTCTTTGTGCACCCCATGTCATTCAGGAGGTGCCATGACCTCCTGAGGCTTCATGTCGGTGGTAGGACCAGGACTGAAGAAAAAGAACATGTGGGACATTCATGGGGCTCAGAGATATTTCTCTTAAAATGCAATATTTGTGGAGCGCCTGGGTGGCTCAGTTGGTTAAGCATCCGACTCTTGATCTCAGCTCAGGTCTTGATCTCAGGGCTCCATGCCAGGCGTGGAGCCTTCTTAAGAAAAAAATGCAATATTTATTTCAATAGGATTGAATAAAAAATTTTATTGATTTTTTATTAAGTAATTGCTGTAATGAGAAGAGACAAGAGTATCAAATGCGCACTGGAAATGAAATGAAGCACAGTCTTACACATACATGCAGGTGCACCTCAATTTCAGGAAACCTAGAAAGTAGAAGGAGTGATTTAAAAAACAGGAAAGAGAATGCTTTGTAAAAAATAAAAACATAAAAAATCTCTTCAAATATTTCTTTTGAAGTGTTTATACCAGGATTAGATTTATCAACAAAGATCGATTTATGCACTAATTTAAAGAATATAACTATTGCATAGAGCAAGCTATCATTATATTAAAACACAGAAAAAAAGTCACTTTACACTTACTTGTTTGCAGTTTGCATTCAGTTTTTATTATTGTTCCTTTCTCTTTCCCTGTGACTTTATGTCAGATGAGCCAGGATGTGCTAAGCACTGGAGTTTCCTTTGTTACTACCTTCAGAACCACAGGATTTATTTATAAATGATCCTGCCTTTATTTTTTTGATTTTTTAAAAGATGTTATTTACTTATTTGAGAGAGACAGAGCAAGGGGGAGAGCACAAGTGGGATGAGGGGCAGAGGGAGAAGCAGACTCCATGCAGAGGAGG